TGCTTCTTAGGAGTCTCAGGACAGGTGTCTAGGCACAGGGCCTTTGTGTTTATCCTGAGTTTCCTGTTTTTATCCTTTGTGTTCATCTGAGTTTCTGGAATTTCTGGGCTAATGTTTTCTATTAGATTTGGGAAGTTCTTGGACACAATTTCTTCACTTCTTCTCTCCCACCTTCCTTCTCTTGGAGCTCCCACTGCAGGCCGTGGGCCTGGGACGGCGTCTCACATCCCTCTCACCCAGTTCTGTTCCCCGCCCTCCCCCCTGGTCTTGTTCTGGACATAAGTTTTCATAACTTTCCATGGCCCTGACCTTTGGTTCAGCTCTTCTGGCTTCTGCTTCCAGGAGCTGTACACCCATACCACTGAGCCCTTGGTTTCAGGTATCAACAGAGCTTCTAAATGTTTCATTTGACTCCTTTTATAGGTTCTATTTCTCTGCAGAAATGCTATGTCCATTTTATCCATCTTTCCCCCATTTCTTTAACACACTAATTAGTTACTTCAAAGTTGTTGTTTGTTAACTCATATATTTGCATCAGGCAGCTTCTGTTAACTGCTTATGTCCTGTTAAGGGATTACTTTTTCCTGCTTATGTCCATAAACATAAGTCTTCTTGTGGCAACACCTTGTGGACGGTGCGTGTTAGAGGTTTTGGATTATGGAATCCTTCTCTACAGAGTCGGGCTTGTCCGCGGGAGCAGGGGTGGCCCCAGCTTTGTCTTCTCCCAGCTGGGGTCCCAGACTCAGACTCTGCTGGGCCGTGGGCTGGCCGAACACAGTGAAACTGAGGCCCAAAGAGGAGGAGCCTGGCCCGAAGTCAGAGCGAGGAAGGGGTGATGAGCCAGGACGTCAGGCTGCTGCTCTTTCCAGCACTGCCGCCATCAAGCACCACTGTGCTGCCGATGCTGCTGGCTGCTTGTTGCTCTTTCAATGAAGGCTCGAGTCCTCAAAGCACCTTCCCACAGCAACCTGCCAGCCCTGTACTGGCCAGGCCTCTGTCTCTTGGACACGCCAGGCCACACCTCTGCCAACGATGCCACCAGAGCCATCCCTGAGAGTTCTCACAGGAGGGGTGTGCCCTGAAAGTACCCCAGCCTTTCCGGGGCTTCCCAGGGCCACTTCCAAACTGGGAGAGGTGTTTTCTTTCCAAAACATGTAACAATTTTAACAGAGTTCTCACCATGCTTTACTGGAGTCCTTGGGGTGGGGTAAGGGGAGGGGAGGGAGAGAGACCACCCTGGGGGCTCTGCGGCAATGCCTGTGTGTACACCTGTGCGCTTGGGGCTGGGCAGGCACTGGCTTCTGGCTGTCTGGCCTGAATTCCAGTGGGACACTCACGGGCAGCTTAGGATCGATGGCCAGTTATCAATAATGCGTCTGTTTAGAGTGGCCTGGGAGGCCATTAACTGGGCCTGCCGCCCCTGATGAGTGACCCTGGAGAAAGCTGGCTGGGCACGCCCATGGGAAGCTCAGATATGCAGGAATAGGAGGGGCTGCCACCCTGGGAGAGCCCCGGGGGTGCCTCTGGGACCCCTGTGGATCTGAGCCCTTCCCCTCTGCCACCCTGCAGTAAGCCAGCCCCAGTTTCTTACTCTTTGAGGCCAACAGCCCCATTTGAGGACTGGGTTGTTGAGGTGCAGAGTCTAATCCTTATCTGAGACCACAGTTAGAACTCAGTTCATGGCCAGGGTCGGGGCTCAGGTTTTGTTGCAGCTCTGGGGTCAGGCTTGGGGTGTGGTGTGTAGCTGAGCAGAGTCTGTCCTGGGGCAGTGAGAGGGGCAGCCGGCTCCTCGCTGGCTGCCCAGAGCCAGTGGTGCACATTCCTTCCCAATTCTGCATGACAGTCTGTGGGTAGTGGGGTATTTACACCAGACATGTGCCTTTCTCTAAAGAAAAAAACAACAACAACCCTGAGCTCCTTCCCCAAATTCCACTGAAACAGCAGTACAGAAGAGCTTTTATTTTTTAAATACTTAAATGCTTTTATTTTTTAATATATTTTGTTGATTATGCTATTATAGTTGTTTCATTTTCCCCTCTTCACTCCCCTCCCACCTGCATATTCCTCCCTTTAGTTCATGTCCATGGGTCATACATGTAAGTTATTTGACTTGTACCTTTCCTATACTATTCTTAACCACCCCCTGTCTATTTTCTACCTACCACCTATGCTACTTATTCTCTGTACCTTCTCCTCCTCCCACTCCCCTGTTGCTAACCTTGTCTGTGATCTTCATTTCTATGGTTCACTCCTGATCTAGCTGTCCTCTTAGTTTGCTTTTGTTTTAGGTGTGGTTGTTAATAATTGTGAGTTTGCTGTCCTTTTACTGTTCATCTTTTTTATCTTCTTTTTCTTAGGTAAGTCCCTTTAACATTTCATATAATAAGGGCTTGGTGATGATGAACTCCTTGAACTTGATCTTATCTGAGAAGCACTTTATCTGCCCTTCCATTCTAAATGAAAGCTTTGCTGGATAGAGCAATCTTGGATGTAGGTCTTTGGATTTCATGACTTGGAATACTTCTTTCCAGCCCCTTCTTGTCTGTAAGGTCTCTTTTGAGAAATCAGCAGTCTGATGGGAACTCCTTTGTAGGTGACTGTCCCCTTCTCTCTTGCTGCTTCTAGGATTCTCTCCTTCATTTGAATCTTGGCTAATGTAATTCTGATGTGCCTTGGTGTGTTCCTTCTTGGGTCCAACTTCTTTGGGACTCTCTGAGCTTCCTGGATTTCCTGGAAGTCTATTGCCTTTGCCAGATTGTGGAAGTTCTCCTTTATTATTTGTTCAAATAAGTTTTCCACTGGTGGCTGTTCCTCTTCCCCTTCTGGTACCCCTATAATTTGGATGTTGGAACATTTAAAGATGTCTTGGAGGTTCCTAAGCCTCTCCTCATTTTTTTTTTGAATTCTTGTTTGTTTATTCTTTTCTGTTTGGTCATTTTTTTGCTCTTTCTGGTCCACTCCCTTGATTTGAGTCCCATTTTCCTTTCCATCACTCTTGGTTTCCTGTGCATTTCCCTTCATTTCAATTAGTTTAGCCTTCATTTGTTCCTCTAATTTGTGGCTAAAATCAACCAGTTCTGTGAGCATCCTGATCACCAGTGTTTTGAACTGTGCATCTGATGGTTTGGATATCTCTTTGTCACTCAGAATTATTTGCTTTGGGGTTTTAAGTTGTTCTTGAGCCTTAATGTTTTGGTCTGTTCACGCCTATTACGTATGCGGGGCGGAGCCTTAGATGTTCACCAGGCGGGGCCACCCAGTGGCTAAATTGTGACGCTGTATGTGGGGGCGGGGTCAGAGAGGGGCAATAGCTGTCCCCTCTGGTGCTTCCCACAAGCTGCTGGGGCCTGCAAGGTCTGTCTCACTGCTCGCTCCTTTACCTGGTTTATCTGCGCCCTAATGTGTGACTGAGGTCAGCCAGCCACCTTGTGCCTTCACTGGGTCTTCCTGTTGCCACCCCACACGTGGAATCTGTCAACTGCTGCCTGCACACCTGGGTCAGTCTGGCTAATTTTTCCTGCCTGACTCAGCTCCACTAGCCACTGGCCCTGCCCCTCTTACCCATCTGGCTGAATGGTTCGTTGTTGTCGGACTTCCGTACAGTTCAATTTTCTGTGTTTTGGTTGCGTTTTTGTTACTAAAACTTTGTTATCTCTAACAGTGTTTCCACATATGCCTCCATCTTGGCCAGGAGTCAGGAATGGGTTTTTTTTAAAAGCGCGGGGTTTGTGAGGGGTTAGGCCAGGGGTGTCAAACTCATTTTCACTGGGGGCCATATCAGCCTTGCAGTTGCTTTCAAAGGGCCAAATGTAATGTTAGGACTATATAGATGTACCTACTGCTTAACAGTGAAGCAAGAGCTTGGCACTGCCGCTGGGTAGAAACAAGGTGCTGGGCTGGATAAAATGGGGTGGAGGGCCGGACTTGGCCCTCAGGCCTTGTGTTTGCCGCCTGTGCATTAGGCTCTTGCTCTTCGGGGCAGGAGCCTCAGGGTTCCAGGATGTGAGCTGAGACAGTGGTTAAGGTAAAGGGCCCAGCTGTCCCCAGGTGAGGAGGGTCAGTCTGACCACCGGCCCCTATGGCTGGCGGCGAGTGTCTGTCCTGGGCAGCAGAGTTTCCATGAAGCTGTAGGCTATTAAGCAAGTTGGGGTAACTGAATCATGGGCAGTGCAGCAGGTTGGGAAACTGGCCTGACCCTTTCAGGTGGGATCCTCTGCCCCTCCTCCTGTGCTGCCTCTTGGTGCTGCTTCTACCCGTTCTCAGCACCAAGGAAGCCAGGGGTGTCCCTGCCCAGCAGCCAGACAAACCCACCGGGCAACGCCGTGGCCCCGGACACAGCAGCTGTGCACGCTGACCCAGGGAAGTTGCCCAGTGCCAGTGCTCTGCACGACCACCCTAGTGTTAGTGAAGGCTTTAGTGGAGCATTTCACTTTCAGTAGAAAAATAAAGCATTAAAGTAAATAAACAAAACCATCAGAGGGTGCCAAGTGCAACACAGAATTCTAAGAGGCTGACGTCACCGAGTGCCCGGGGGACTGCCAGGTGGGCAGCCGGCCAGGTGATCTGGGAGCAGGTGAGCCCAATACAGGCTTGATGTGAGCAGGAAGCAGGGGAGGCTTGGGCTGTGTGAGCTGCGTAAGCCGTGAGTAGGGAGCTTGGGTTTTCTCCCGGCTGGATATGAGTGGACAGGGGGCGACATGAGAAACCCCCCCCCACCGTTAAAGAAGCCACAGTGGGGCAGGTGAAAGCAGGCAGTGGGGCCGGACGGGGCACATGTGTGGCTCGGGGAGAGGAAGCCCAAAGCCAGGGAGGTGCCTTTGTGATTGGCTCCAGCGAAAATGAGATGGTAGTGGTTAGTATTGTTGGGGGGTTATAAGGAGCGCCAGTCTTGCCTTTGGGTGCTCAGTGCCCCAGACAGCTGCTTCTTCTCAAAGTGTCTGGTACCCACCCAGGCCTGCTCAAGGATGGTTCTCCAACTCACAACTGGTCAACTCTTGCAGTTTGAGATCCGGCAGCTGCGGGCACACCTGGCACAGCAGGACCTGGACCTGGCAGCGGAGCGGGAGGAGGCGCTGAGGGCCCCACAGGTGCTCCGCCGGCCACGCAGCCGCTACCATGTGATGGAGGAGGCGGCAAATGAGGGCTTCGTGGAGGAGCTGCAGCCTTCCCCAGGTGAGCATCCACGGCCTCCTCCAGTTCGGTCGTGGAGAGCCCCTCGCCTCCGTGACCCCAGGGTCTGCACCCAGCTTTCTGGGGCTGGAGCCTCTCACCTTGCAGGGCCATGTGCCCTCCTTGGCCCCTGATTTCACAGGTGAGTTCAGATCAGGACTATAACCTGAGCCCAGAAGAAACCCATTCAGCCAAGTTAACTGATCTTCCAGGGATCTCAGTGGCTTGTACCTTCTCATGCCTGTGGGCTCTGAGCTTTGTGTCCAAGGCCCCCCAGTCCTCACAGGACCCCCAAAGGAGATGTGACTTCCTGCCTTATGGGCAAGGACCCCGCCCCCAGGAAAGTCATTCAAAGGCTACTTTTCTGTTGGGCTGCCCAGCCCACTGGGGCCCAGATAATAAGTCCAGGCTTGGGGCCAGAGCACGGAAGGCCAGCTCCGTCACCTTGTTCAGCGGGCGTAACCTGTCTGGGCCTTGGTCTTGCTGTGAAATGGGAATGTGCTGAGCCTCCAGGGGAGCGCCCAGGGCAGCGGGGTAAGTCCTGCAGGTAGGGGGTGCTGTTGTGTCATCTTCGGGGTGGGTGCACCCTCATCAATGACATTGTCATGGTGGGTTTGGGCCTTGGCAGGGCTTGGGGTGTGCTGATGGGCGCAGGCCCAGCACCAGCCTCCGCTCAGGGGCCTCGGTGGCCAGGCAGGCAGATGTGCACCTGAGTTAGAGTCCAGGCAGCATCCTGGGCACCTCGACACAGGCCCCTCTCCTGCTCAGGTCTGAGCCCTCCTTCCTGCCCTGCTTCACACCAGAGAATGTTATTGGGTGGCCAAAAAGTCTGTATGGTTTTTTCCATGAAATGAAAGACACATTTCTACTTTCACCAGTCACTTCACTGATTTGGGTATTTTGATTATGTCGGCTATCTCTTGGTATTGGTTTCTAATAGTAGAAGGCCAGGGGTGCTGCTAAACATCTTCCAATGCATGACAGCCCCACAGCAGTTATTTGGCCAAAATGTCAACAGTGCCAAGAAACTTCACAAACCTCTTTCAACATGTTCTATCAGTCACAGCACCTTCTCCATTCTCTGCACAAATCTTTTTTTGTGTTTCAGTTTCATTTTTACCTTTTCTGAAATAATAAAGCATAATACACTGAAGATGTTGGGTATCTTCTATCTTCAATGTTAAAATGGCTGCACAAAAATTCACCAAAATGCATGCTGATATTGACAGCTGTCACAATACAATCTAATAAAGTTTTGAGTGACATTAAAGACAGCTAAGCACTATTAGAGCCATCGTATGGAAAAACTGTACTGGACTTCTGGCCAACCCTGTATCAGGTGCCATTTTGTACCTCTGTGTGGAACTTGCCATTCATCCGTGTTTGGCTGTATCTTGGGGGTTATTTTTAAACTTATTTTTCATTAGAGTTGGCTTACAGAATTACAGTTTCAGGTTACAATGTAATGATTCCATGTTCACATACCTTGCAAAGTGATCACCACAGCACGCCTAGTACCTGCCTGTCACTGAACATATGTGTGTACACGGGCTCTATTTCCTGTGGCATCCTGGTGCCTCACTGTGCGCCTGGATGTTGGTGCCTCTTCACCCACACATCCTCCCTTCTGCACCTCCTGGTTTAGACACGTTTTTGAAGCATGTCATTCTACCCTCCGTATTTTACCTCTGCTCATGTTTTCCATTTTCAATCTCTGTGCTGCATACTGAGACTGTCCTAGGCCTTCCAATGGACTAGTTACGTGTCTGGCCTTCTGTTAAACCTGTTTCAGTGTTTTTTTTTTTCAGCGAACATTATTTTGTATTAGTTGCAGGTGTACAGTCATTGAGGTTTAGACAGTCATATACTTTACAAAGTGTTCCCTGATATTTCAAGTATTCTAGAGATTTGTTCCTTTCTTTCATTTGGGACGTTTCTTTTTCTCTTCGCGTTGGCTGCTTTTCTGCTCATCTCTAAATCTTAGGTAGAGCTGCTGCGTCTCCTGGGCTTGGTAGTGGCCTTACGCAGTAGGTGTCCTCAAGGGCCCAGCGGTGCCATCTCCCTGGTCACCTGAGTTGGGCATTCCAGGTGTGTCCCATGTGAGTTGCGTGTACCACAGCTGAGGTTTTTTTTTTATTTTTAATATTTATTTTCACAGAGGGAGAAAGAGAGGAAGAGAAACGTCAATGTGTGGGTGCCTCTCTCACATCCCCTACTGGGGACCTGGCCCACAACCCAGGCATGTGCCCTGACTGGGAATCGAATCCAATCCAGGACCCTTTGGTTCACAGGCTGCTGAGGGCCAGGGCTGCAGTTGTTTTGATTGCTTTTAGCACATGAGTGGGAGGGATGGCCCCTCAGGCTGATTGGTTGTGAGCACTGGCCGGGACAGCAGTGCAAGAGCTGTTGCACAGGGGCAGACTCTACACAGCAGGAGTGGCTTTGGCGGGGCTCTGGTGCCAGAGGAGTCTTGAGTGTTTTTTGTGGAGGTGGTTTGATGTGCTCCAGTGTGGTCTGAAGCTGCCCAACAGGTGTGTTGGTTCTGAGGCCTCTTGGGAGGTGGAGGCCAAGATCAGCTGCTGCCTGCGCCCTGCCAAGGGCCATTGGTGTGAGCTACAAAGGAATCTGCAGATAGGTGCTACTGGTGCTGGGCTTGGAGAGGCCTGGAACAGGCTAAGCTGCAAACCGCAGCTGCCTGCCACTAGTGTTGAGCTTGGGGCTGTTTAGTGAGAGGTACAGGGAGTGCTGAGGCCAGAGGTGGCTTGTTTGGGGTTTGTGGACCTTTGAGAGATTTTAGGAAAGTCTGCAGCATGAGCCAAGACAGGCCATTTGTGTGGAAAAGCCATGAAGCGGCTTGAGTTTGGCGGGGCAGCATCTCAGGGGATCACCAAGGTGGGGTGAGCAGTTGGCCAGGTTGCTGGAGACACAGAAATGCTGTCCACCTGCAGGGGGAGGGCTCAGCAAAGGAATAGGGGCCTCTGCCAGCACTTTGGGAGAAGGTGGCCCCTGAAGCCTCATTCTAAAGCTAGACAATTCCATTCTTCCCCACGTGCCCCTGATGCCTTTGGAGCTGTGCCACCCCAGTGCTGGAGCTCAGAGCAAGTGAGCCCACCAGGGAATATGCCCATGTGCGGTTTCTTTATGAGACACACCTGGGACTCCAGAGGCCCTCTGTCCCACTCAGCCATAACCCCAGCTGGTTTTCAGTCAGAAGTTATGGGGACGTCCGCTTCCAGCACTGGAACCCAGGGATGGGGAGCTGGGATCCTCTGCAGCTGATATCCTTATTGATGGGCTTTGAACTGTCATACTTGGGTGTGGGACCGGCCTGGTCCATGTGTCTGCCCCTCCTAATAATAGCCTACACGGCTTCTTCTGTGCACCCTTAGTTACAGGAGTTCTGTTGAAGTAGTCTTCAGGTGGTGTCCAAGGATGGTGGGTTTGTAGTTTGGCTGTAGTTTTTTATGTGGTGGTGGCAGAAGGCATGTACAGTGTTTACCTACTCAACTATCGTGACCAAAAGCCCTTGTGTGCCCACTTCTAAGCCCCTGAACTCAGGATTTCTGGCACAGCACACGTCCCGTAGTGCCTGTCTCCCAATCCTTAGCTCTTAACAGTATGACTAATACTGTCCCTCAGCCAATGACCTCTAGACCCTGGTGCCACATTTGGGCCCAGAAAGTCAAGATCTGAGCTTGGAGAGTCTGCAAAGCAAGGCTTTAAAATAATACACGTTCGAGGAGCACTGTGAAGCTTTGCATTCTTGCTTCTCTTGGTCCTCCTCTCTCTGCATTCCCTTTAGTGGGGACTTTTAGGACAAGGAAGGAGACAGAATCAGGAGGGACAATGCTGGGTCAGACTGGAAGCTTACTCCATCGAGACAGGGTCGGCTGTGTATCACTATCCAGGGTGTCAGGGGGACTGTGCCGGCCCTCCTGGAGCCTAGGGGGGCCTCTGAACAGGCACTCAGCTCAAATGTGCACCCTGGAAGCAGCTGCAGGTGCCCCTCCCAGCCACCCCTCGATCCCCATCCCTGTGCCTCCTCCTCTCTGACACCCATAGCCTCCGAGCTCCCTAGAGGCACATAAGCCCCAGTGTCAAGGTCAATGCCTCTGAGTGCTAAAGCAGAGGCTTGGAGGGCTGGCCCATGTGACTCACATCCGTAAAAGGGCCAGAATGACAGGGCGCCCCCGCCAACCTCACCCTGACCAGGAGCTGTATCGAGGGAGAGATTTACATGACATGAGAAATTACGGCCGGCCAAGCTAGGGGCATTCTGGGCCACTCTGGAGATGGAGCAAGGGCAGCGTGTGTCGCTAACAGTGACGTTCAGGTCAGTGAAGGCTCTGAGGCCCAGCCTGTCACAGCTGTCCACACACAGTCCAGGGATGACCTTTCAGACGTGAGCGGTCAGTCCCAGGAGTGTGGAGTGCCAGCCGCAACCCAGGCAGGAGGACACAAAGCCTGAAGTCACACCGTGGCCCATGGGTCACACTCACACCAGTCAGCTTGTATTTAGACTTCTCTGGCACAAATCACTTTTATAACCTGGGCCGCAAAGCTACAGGCATGGGAGCCTGCCAAGTTCATGGTGTAGTCAATAAAACTTTCCTCCCAAATTTATTGGTCTTTAAGCTTCCCCATAACTCATGAGTTATAGCCCCTGCTGGGACTGCCGTGGTCTTACCCATCCATCACGGCGAGCCTCAGCTTCCCACCCGACACCAGGCCAACGGGCCTGGGCCTTCCCTGTGCCCAGCAGAGCTCCACTTGGAAGAGAAGACTGTGTGGCAGTGAAGGCAAGTCCGGCTAGAGGGGGACCTAGCAGGCGAGCTGGTGGGGTTGAGCCTGAGTGGGAGCGCGGGGACATACTACAGGTGGAGGTAGACGGGGGAGCTAGAGAGGTCAGCTCTCTAGGGGAACTTAGGTTGGGGAGTGAGTGGGGAGCTTGAGTGTGAGCTAGAAGGGTTAGCAGTGGAGCCAAGCTACATTGAGGAGCTAGGTAGCTGCCTAGAGGGGCAAGAAATAATGGGCAACTAGCAGGGTGAACTGGGGTAGGCTAGAGTGGGAAATAGAAGACTGATACAGGGTGGGGAGGTGCAGTGGGGAGTTAGGAGCACTGGAATGGTAGAGGGGCTGACCTTGGGCGGGAGCTGAGCTAAATGAAAGGATGGGGTGAGAGGCTAGAGGGACGAGCTACAGTGGGGAATGGGGGGCTAGCTAGAGGAGTAAGCTTGAGTGGGAAGCTGGAGATCCAGTTAGCTAAGTTTGGGTGGGGATGTAAAGTGGGGAAGCTGGACAATGGAGCTTGAGTGTGGAGAGTAGGAAGCGAGGGGGCACGGTAAGGAGCCAAGTTGGAGTGGGGAGTCAGGGTAACCGAGGGGAGTTGCAGAAGGGTGAGCTAGACTGGGGATCTGGGAATGACCAGTATCAAGCTAGCTGGGGGAGGTGGCAGACGAAATTGGAGAGCTAGAGCGTGAGCTAGAAGGGGGAGCAAGCTAGGGAGCTAGGGAGAAATGGGGGTGAGCTGGAAGGGTGAGGGAGAAGGGGGAACTAGGTGAGCTGGTGGAGCCAGTGTTGAGATTTAGTGACTGAGCTAAAGAAGGACCATGGGTGTGAGCTGAAGTGGGATGCAAAGAGGGAAGAGAGGGGTGAGTGAGAGTTGGGAACTGTATTGGGGACCTAGGAGGGTACACTAGATTTGGGATTAGAAATGGCTATGTGAGAGGGAGCTGGATTAGGAGTCCAGCTGGAAAGGGAACTCACAGGACGGGTGACATACAGCAGAAAGCTACTGTGGCAAGGGCGTGGGAGAGGGGGTAGCTAGTGGGCAGGATGGAGTGGGATTAGGGTTCAGAAGTAGTGAGGTGCTCTAATTGGGACTCAAAGGCAGGGGAGGGCTAGAGGGGCAAAATATGGGCAGCAGTTTGAATGGGTACATTGGGGAGGTAAAAATGAAAGCTGGGGAAATATTTTGGAGAACTACAGACAATGAAATAGGGAGCTGGAGGGGCAAAGAGTAGGGAGCTGGGATGGCCACGCCAATGTGGGATGGTAGGGTATGGGGAGCTAGATTGGGAAGTTAACGGGTGAGCTAGAATGACTAGGTTGCAGAACTGGGGGGTGCATGCCAGAGGGGTAAGCTATAGTGGGGAGCTAGGTGAGGCAGAGTGGGAAACCAGAGTGGGGAGCTGAGTCACACAGTAGGGAGAGTTAGGTGGCAAGAGGGTGGAGAGCGGTGTTGTTCTAGAGTCGGGAAGCAGTGTGTATAAGTGGAGGGAGGTGTGGGGATTATCTAAGTGGAGTGGAAGAAAAAGGAGTTAGGGGGCCAGCTAATGTGGGAAGCGAGCTAGGGATGAAGTGGGGAAAGCTGCAGTGGAGATCTGGGGGTGGTGGATCCATGAGCAAAGTGCAAGTGTGGAGAGCTAGGCATGTAACTAGGGGGACCAAGGTGGCAGGGTGTGGAGGAGGGGGAGGTAATGTGGGGGGTGAGAATTGGGAACTATGGGTTTAGCTCATACAGGGAAGCTATGGAGGCAAGAGGTGAGACTTACAGGAGCAAGCTAGAGTGGGGAGCTAGATAATTGGGCTAGAAGGTGCCTTGTAAAGTAAGTCCCACTAAAGACTCAGACCTGCTGAAAAATAAGTCCCACTGGAGGCTGAGGCCCACTGAAATACAAGTCACCCCCTGGCACTGAAAAATAAGTCCCATGTCAGAAATGACATGTGTCTGGGACTTAAAAAGTAAGGTGGTCTAGACTAGACTGGGGTTCTACAAGGTGAGCTAGAATGAGGACCTGAGGTATGAAGTTACAGGTCAAGCTATGGGAGTTCACGCCTAACTGGGAAGTTAAAGGAGCAAAATAGAGGGGTGATCTAGAAAGAGAAATTAGATTGGGCACCTAGAATGAACACCTTACTGGGCAGCTGTGGGGCAAGCAGGGGACTAGGTAGAATGGAGTGCTAGGGAAGCATGGCACAGGGGTGTGCAAGAGTGGAAAGCTACACTCAGGAGCTAGACCAGGGCACTACACAGAAAGCTAGAATATGAATTATAGTAGGGAACTGGGGCGGGGGGCAGCCTAGAGGGCAGAGCTAGAGAGGGACAGGGATGTGCTAACCAGGGTGGTGGGGCAGAGTAGGAGCTGGAGGGGTGAGCTAGACCGGGCTGTCAGGAGGGTGCACTGAAGGGGAGAGCTATGGGGGTGACTTACAGGTGCAGCTGGGTAGATAGGGGTTTGAGCTTGGGGATTTATTAGCATGAATAGCTCAAGTTGGGATTTGGGGATGAGCTAAAGGAGCTAGGGTGTGAACTGTGGGAGGGGCGAGCTAAGAGGTAAACTAGAGGCTAGAGGATATGAAGTAGGGTGGGGTGCTAGTGAGCAAGAGTTCTATGACTCGGAGAAAGGGTGATGAAGTAATAAATCACAGTGGGGAGCTAGGAGGTGAACTAGGGTAGTGAGCTGGAGGGTCAAGTTCAAATGGGGGCTACCTAGAGGGGCAAGCTAGACTTGGGAACCTAAGGTGTGGGCTTGGGAGACTAGCTGCAGGGGTTGATCTATGGGGACAAGCTAGAATAGGCGGCCAGAGTGGGGAACTAGAGTGGGAATTTAGGGGGTGAGCTAGGGTGATGAGACAGAGTGGGAGGAGTTTAGAAGGTACACTGGGGTAAGCAAAGAATGGGGAGTTAAAGTGAGGATCTAGCACCATGAGCTGGGCGGGGGGCTAAGAAACATGGGAGAGGGCAAGCTGGAATGGGGAGCTACAGCAGGGACCTCTGGAGCAAGCTAGAGTGAGAAGCCAGAGAGGGGACTTATGGTGACCAGCTATTGGCGTGAGCTACAGTGGGTGCTAGGGGGTTGAGCTATGGAGGTGAGCTGATGAGAACTAAAGTGGGGAGCTGGGGCGAAACGGGGTGGCTAGAGGGGGTGTGTGCAAACTGTCTTCTTCTGTGGACCCACTTCCACTCATAATGAAGTGTGTCGAAGATCCTGTGTGTGGGCATATACATACCTGTATGCACGTTTTTCTGGACTCGCTGACAGTAGCATCACCATCCGGTCCAAGAACTGGTTCTGCTTGGACCTGCCTTCACTAGGACCCAGAGGTGGGGTTGAGGGTGACACGTTACCAGCTCCCCTCCTTTCTTGCAGACAGCGGAGTCCCAGAGCCAGCCATGTGCCTGGTCACCACGGCTGCCGTAGACATCCACCAGCCCAATGTCTCCTCTGACCTCTTCTCGGTGGACGTGCCCCTGAAGCTCAGCGGTAAGGGCACCTGCGTGAGCTGCACCTCCGAGAGTGCGTCCTGCTCCACTGACAGCTCGGTCCCTGAGGCCCAGAGCGACAGCAGCACCCTGTGCTCTTCTAGGGATGGCAGCACCACCCATGACTTGTCTTCCGAGCCCAGTCCCTTTCCCCTGCCACTGCCACCACCGCCCCCACCCCAGCAGCAAGTGACGGAGACCACAGTCCAGGATCTGCTGTCCTCCCTGTCAGAGGACCCCTGCCCGTCCCAGAGGGCCTTGGACCCAGCCCCCTCAGCCCAGCCCAGCCCAGCCAGCTCTGCCCAAACCAGCCCGGAGCTGGAGCACAGGGTGAGTCTGTTCAACCAGAAGAACCAGGAGGGCTTTCCCGTCTTTCAGATCCAGCCTGTCATCCACTTCCAGCCAGCCACGCCCACGCTGCACAAATTCAGATCTTTGGAATCCAAAGAGCAAACACTGCACAGGGTCCCTGAAGCCTAGGGCCTCCACGTGGTGGGAGAAGGGCACACAGCTGGGGCCCCATGTAGGTAGGACCCAGGAGCCCACCTGGCCTCTCAGGGTGCTGCCCGCCTCCAGGGAGGTGATACCAGGAAAGGAGGACACATGCCTCAGACCTCAAAGCCCAGAGCTGGTGCCTCCTCTGGCCCTGACCAGGGGAAGGCGGTGCTCACGGCTGGGTTTTTTAACCATTTTTACAAAACCAGCCTGAGGCCCAGCTTCAGCAGGGTGGAGTCCAGGCCCAGCTCAGCCTCTGCCGTTGCCTTCATTCCTGACGCCCACCCTGGACCCTCGGGAATAGCACTGTGAGCAGGGGCTGCCAAGCCCCACCCCCCCCAAGCCCTCCCGTCCAGGAATCCTGGGTGGAGCCCACACAATCTCACGAAGACCACCATCTGAGCCTATTTTGTTCCTTCTCATTCTCTCATTTCCGCATGAGCCTTTCTGGGTCTTTTCAAGACAAACCTAGTTTTCACTTTCACAGGACATAAAGGGATGAATTTGCAGGTGGATGGGAGTGTCCTGGGGGCAGGGGACAGCCATTTTGCAAACTCAGCTTTAATAATAAAAACCAGCTGCACTGAGATTTGGGCTGGCAGAGGTCTTCCTTTGGTTGCTGGCCTAGGTGCAGAGTCTGCAGTGCCTGTGGGCTGGAGCTGGCCTGGTGAAAAGCCATCCAGGGGCTCAACCCCTGCCTGCCAGTCCCGAGGCCTTTTCAGAGTGGAGGGCACCCTGGGCCCAGGCGGGAAGCTCTCTCACACTGCCTGGGTGTGTGACTGCAGATGATTACTGTCCCTTCCCTCATCTTCCCACCAAAACAGAGCTCGGAATTCATGTTCCTCTCTGATGACTGTGACCCACCTCTCCTACCTGGGACCTCAAACTTAGCAGGTGCAAAACTGAGCACCAGCCTGAAGCCCGCTTACACACACGCAGAGCATCAGTGGCTCTTCTCATTCCCCACAAGCTGTCACGGCTTCTGCCTTCCTAATCACCTGCCCAGACCCCAACACGGCCTGGCCCTGGCTCAGCTGAGGCCAACCTCCCTATCTCCCTTGCTGAAAAGCTTCCAAGGGATTTCATGTTGGTAACCACTGTGTTTTGTTTTACACACTCTAAAAAGTCATGAGGGAGGGAGCTGGACTCCTACTGTCCCAGCGGCACTCCTCGTCACAGTCCCCTCATGAACTGGCTTACCTGCCACTCTGGCCGCCCTTTCTCCCCTCTGTTGCTGTCCAGGTTGTTCCTGGTGTGCAACTGTCTCACTCAACCCTCCCCAGAAGCTCCTGTGGCCCCACAAATCACCTGGCAGCACAGTGACCCCACCAGGGCTGTCAGCACCCGCTTCCCTTCGGCCCTGAGAGCCCACAAAGCCACAGCACAGGCAAAGTCAGAGACGGGACTAGACTGGAAGGGAGGGAGAGTCTTGGCTCACAGGGAGGTGAGCAGTTGTTTGAAACATTAAAGGAATCGCTGCCCAACTGAGCCATTTCCAGGGTGTCACTTGAGGCATCCTGTGTCCCCAACAGCAGAATTAAAACGTCCAGGACTGAGCATTCAACTAAGGCCTCTACCTACGGGCCTCTTTAATCCCTGATGACTCTGGGGGCTGTGGGGGGTGCTGTCAGCATCTGCACTTCACAGATGAAGAACCCAAGGCTCAGAGACATTTCAGACTCTCCCAAGGTCAAACACTAATGAGACACCCCGAAACTGGAGCCCAGACTCACCCGACAGTGTGCTAGGTGCTGTGCTCCCAGGCTTTAGAGCTTTTGGAAGCAAAACAGTCATTCTCAGCTTTTTCACATGACAGGCTGGAAGGCATTTCACGATTTACAGTCTCTAGGGCAGGACCCAGCAGGGTCCTGGATCAGTGGTCTGTAGGCTCAACTAGAACAGCCACCATCCTCATCACCCCATCGGGGTGCGTGCTGGCTGCCCCGACAGGTAGAGGGGCCTGTCCTGAGCCAGAGGTGAGGCCCAGCTGCCAGCCCGCACACACCTCTGCTGTGGCTCCTGCTCTAGAGAAACCAAAGGACAGCAAGGGGGAATGAGGTGAGGCAAGTATCTCCTGTTCTCTGCCACCACTTTCTCACCTAGAAATGGGATCTGCATATCTTCACTTTTGAAAGTTCATTTCTTAGGGTACTTACAAACTGCTGTGAGCTGGAATTCTGCCTGAGCACCCGCTGCCATCTTCTTGCCTGAACAGGCAGTACTCGTGGTAGAACTGCCACATGACCAGATGGAGACTGAGGAGAAAGACCCCAGGAGGTAGCTGCTGCCTCTCCGAGGACAGTCTGCTGTCGAAGTTGTAGTGGGTGACACTTAACATGCCAGGGCACAGGTGTGGGGTGGAGCCTGCAGGTGTGGAGCACGGCAGGTGAGAGAGTAAGCTCTGGCTCTCATGGCTTCCCTGGGAGGCCTGCAGCTCTGGGAAGTGGCTCCCCCTGCCCATCTACCCTTCTCGAGAGCCCCCTGGCGCCCTCCCACAAGGAGGGGAATCTGGGTAACAGCAGCTTCTCCTGGAAGCCAGCAAGAGGGTGATGATGCAAATGGCTCCGCTCACTCCCTCCCTGCTCGGACGGGCTCCACGCCGTCTTCCCTCATTACCACAGTCCTGTAGAGTGGGTGCTGTTTTCCCTGCTTCAGAGGAAAACAAGCTCAGGATGAATCACTAAATGACTTGCCCAAGAGCACAGAGCTAACAAATACACTCCTAGGAGGATTGAATCCAGATCCAGGTCTGTCTGGGGCAGGGGCCATACTGGACATGGAGAAACGAGCCCCCTAGAATGAAACCAGGTGACATCAAGACAGCTAGGGACGGAAGTGAGGCCTCTGGCCTCCTGGTGGTTGCCGTCCCTCAGACAGCCTCCCAGCACAGCCTCCCCACGGGAGCTGGAGAAGAGCCAATCTCATGGCTAGAGTGCCACCTGGATATGCCAACCCTGACAGCAGGGACAAGGCTCAGAGCCAGCAGTGCTGGTGGCCGGCCCCCAAGAGAGCTGGGCCAGAGCTGGACAGGCCTGGCCCACAGCCTGCCTTCCCTGAATGAGGCAACGGCCCGTCCCCAGCTAGGCCTGGGCAAGGCCTCTACCCCAAACCCTGGCTTTTTAGACCAAGTCACGCAGATGGTGCTTCCGCACACCCTGCACATCAGAGGTGCGGCAGTGTTTACGCCTCCCTGTCCCTCAGCTCAGGAGCACTTTCTCAATCCAAGACATCTCTCCTGAGGCTCTCGTCTGGTGCTGCTTCCACACTCCTCTGAGGGGCACTCTCCGTGTCTCTAAAGAGGACTAACAACAGGGCTATGAAAGCTCACCTGAGACAAGGTCAAAAAGGAAAGTAACTTACTAGTAAGTCAATAAAACACTTGCACTTAACAAGCACATCCAAGGACAGCTCTGGGGTTGACACAGACAAGCCCAGGTACTGAAGGACACCTCAGGGCTGGAGAGACGCCTGGACACCTCCACCTCCACCTCAGGTGCTGCTGGGCATTCAGGGTACGTTGAGGCCCAGACACTTGCGCTCTCAGCCCAACCCTGTTTCTGGTCTGCTATCCGGCCCTGCTCCCCACACCAACAGAATAACCACTCCTGGTCCCACACCCTTGAAGAGCTAAGTAAGGGGTGCAACTGACATAATGGAGGGAAGGCCCTTGGAGAATGTTTCAAGGGAGACCCAGCAGAAACCACCCTCATCAATAATAGACGCCGGGGATGCTGCTTGCCTGCCCATGCTGAGCACTTCTGCAGAAGGTTGCCCAGGAGATGCTCAGTTATTCACCAGCTACTGCTGCTATTTGGGGAGGGGGAAAGGTTCTGGTAGGGTGTATGGGCGCTGCGAGGATGTGTGCTGCCCCCAGCCCAGGCCCTGCCTGCTCCTCCAAGCTCATCCCTGTTCACACATCCCTGATGGTTCCCCTATAGACACTGTCCCGGAGTCCTCGAGTTAGGTAAAAGAGTGCTGCTTTCCCCCAGACAGGCTGTCTTCCTGTGCCCTTTCCAGCATCAGCCAAAACCTACATTTATTTCCCTGACATCAACTGAGCAAGGCATTCCTAACCACTCCAGATTTTTTTCTCCAGTGCTGAGAAATTTGGTACTGTCTCCTAACAAATAATTATCCAAAAAAATGATAGGACATTTGCTGCTGAATTTATTGCAAGCTACCAGAGAGATGTGTGGGCATAGTGTCATGCAGAGCCCTAGGCTGCAGCAGAGGGGGGCCGGCTGCCTACTCAGCCTGAAACAAGCAAATGAATTAAATTTGCCTGCAGATCAATCAGGACACTAAACACCGTGATGAATATGGCAAATCTCTTTAGTAGCTAAGATTTACGGGGTACCTTTCACCAAGTGTTCTTGTAGACTCCCCAACATCAATGAGGCCTCACAACTAGGTAGACTCCCCCTACCCACCCTGCATAACGAAGGAGCATGGGTTGTGGGGATGGAGTTTGCTAAATGCCACCAGAGACCGCCGGGGTACAGACCAGAGCCCTGCTTTCCCGAGCAGAGTGGCCCAGAGCAGAGGGGTGCAGGCTAGAACAGACCTGGGGCCAGAGCCCACCACATTCTGGTGCTTCTGGAGCTCGTCCATGCTGGCCTTCTGCGTGGGACACACTTCCTCGCTGGCTAGCTGAGCTGCCCCTTCCCAACTCAGCTCAGAGGTCTCATCTCACTCCCTCCGCTGCACCCACCCCAGCCAAGCTGGAGAGGTGCTGCCCCTGTTCTCCCGAAGTGGAGCCTGAGTCTAGCTCAGACCCACATCTCACTGCCTCTCTGGTTTGTCCCCTTTCAGCCAATTTGTTCATCCAGAAAGCAGGGGAAACGCCACCTGCTTTGTGGATCCCTGTGTCAGAGAAGCCACAGCTGGTTCCCAATAAGCCATGTTGGCCAAAAGTTCTGGCTTGCGTTCCAGTCCCACCACTTGCCTTTGTGACTCGGGCAAACCACTTTCTCTCCCAAGAGCCTGATTTCTTCAGTTTCCTACCCTTTCCACCTCTGATGCAGGACCTTGCATGAAATTACTTTATAGACCTAGGATTATCAGCAACTTGGGTTTCCCACAGGTATGTTTTTTAAATCCAGCGGTATACTAAATTGTGGCAGTTTATTACCCTAACGAGCTTTATCAGTCAAGTCACTTCTGGCTGACCAACTGCATTTATCATCAAGCTTGTCCTCTGGGTTTCCTAGACTCTCAAGCCCATTTTTATGCAGATGAAAACTACTGCCTTTCAAGAGACAGTGTGAAATGCAACTGAGCCAACCATCCTTTTCAGAAGACAGAGCACTTAGGGTTTCAAACCCCAGCCCAGCACAGACACGCCCAGGTTCTGCTGGCAGCATGGCTCCCACTGGCCCCGGAGGAAGAGCCCCACTCTCTGCCAGCCTCGCCCACAGCTCTGGACCCATTTCCACTCTCCTGGGACCCATTCTGTAACCAAAGAGCTTTCAGCCAAACACATCCAGGGCACAAGGCCACAGGATTCCCGCAAAAGCCTGCCAGTCACTTCCATCTCCTTCCCCATCCATCCTGAACACACCACTGGGTTAGGTCACTCCTTGAGGTCAGGTCACAGGCTTTCCTCACAACATGTCAAAGACCCCGGTTGCCAGGATTGTGGCAAGGCCTCAGAAAGTCACAAAGCTCTTCGTGGCCTTGCCACGAAGTATGTGACATACTGCATATGTCACATTGCATTCTAATGTATAAACAAGAAAGACTTACCACTCACAGTATCTGTAAGTAGCCAGTGCAGGTTCACTAACTAAGCTGTGGAGGGTCCACGGCTGCTGACGGCCTCAGGTAATAACACCCGTTTGCTGCTTGTCCGTGTGCTTTGCAATCTGCTTACAATACTAGGAAGGTATAGCAGCAACCAGAGTTTTAGGGGGAAAGTCTGTTAGGAGGACCTACAATTGGAGAAATTCTATTAACTTTTCCTGCAAAACAGGAAAAGATACACACCTTCCACAGTACCAGCCCTGGTCCAGCTCCTAAAATGGCAGTATTACGTGAGGGCAAGTTTGAGAACCACTGACCTGTGAGGGGAGAAAGCCACACTCCTCAGTCCACCACTCAGTCGGCATAACCCCTCTCCTGCCCCTCACAGCCTCAGGCACCTGTGTGACCTCTGATCTGTTGCTGCTTCTGCCCCAACATGCTGATATTGAAGACTCCACCCCACGGATGAGAGAAGGCTCACAGAGGGAGCCCCTCTGATCGGATTTCCTTCTCTTTAAAGATTTTACTTATTTTCAGAGAGAAGGGAAGGGAGGAAGAAAGAGAGGGAGAGAAACATCAATGTGTAGTTACCTCTCACATGCCTCCCCTACTGGGGACCTGGCCTGCAAACCCAGGCCCGTGCCCTTGTCTGGGAATCAAACTGGCCACCCTCTGGTTCACAGGCCCGCACTCAATCGCTCAATCCACTGAGCCACACCAGCCAGGGCTGATCTGCTTTTCTAATCCCCTGATTTCATTCTGTCTTTCCCGGTAGCTGCAAAATCTTGAGGGTGTGGCCCCAGAAGCCTGTATTCTCAGAGCCAGTTGGGGTGCTGTTCTCCTTCAGGGCCACATGCTCTCCCCCTTTAGGGCAGAGTCTGGGCCAGAATCTCTCGGGTGTTTGCCCCAGAGCCCACAAAGCACAGCTGCTGAGCCCGTGGGCCAAGGGAGAGGCTGGACCCTATGTTTTCTCAACCACTGAAAAGCTGAGTGAGGGGTCATCCTCCTGATCCAGAGGCCCTTATAGGTTTCTGTCCACGTAACCAGGCCACCAAATTCCCAGGGGCTGTATGAGGCTGATTAAAGACCTCAAAACACACAGGAAAAGCACCCACACCACAGAGAGCTGCCCCAAACCCTTTTGCCCACCTGCCCCAGGGCCACAGCCCTGGACCCTCGGGCCAGGTACAGGGCAGAGTCATCAGAAACTGACTGCTTGTTTCCAATAAAACACACAGACAGGGAGGGCACACCAACTCGCACCTTCTGGCATATGTAATGTTTTTAACCACCTGCCCCCACCCCACACAGCTGCGTTTTAAAGGTAAAGTCCAGCCCTGGCTGGTGTGGCTCAATGGACTGGTGCCAGCCTGCAAACCAAAAGGTCACCAGTTCAATTCCCTGTCAGGGCACAAGCCTGGTTTGGGGGCCAGGTCCCCAGTTGGGGGTGTCCAAGGCACATCAATGTGTCTCTCCCTCTCTTTCTCCTTCCCTTCCCCTCTCTAAAAACATAATAAATAAAATCTTTTTAATAAAAGTAAAAAAGGTCAAATCCAAGTGGCACACAGAGGGGCTTTCAAGTTGAATAAAATGCTGTTGGAAAGACAGCCCCAGAAAACCCTCTCCCTCCTCAGCGAGGGCCCCGCGTGTGAGCACCCAGCACCCAGCACTCAGTGCCCTTTACCTGAGGGTGCTGTACAGCGAGTCTCGCTGCTCCCACAGCCAAAGGGAGACAGAAGCACAGACTTCCTGGTTTCAAATCCCGGCTCTGGTTATAAGGTGAATTGGGCAAGTTACGTTACCTCCTTGTGCCTCAGCTTCCTTATCTGTAAAATGGGGATATTAACAGAATCTGACAGTGTGTCTGAGGACTGTCAACATGTATGAACTGTTGGAACAGTGCCTGGCACACAGTAAGCACCATACTTACACTATTATGATGGCGATGAATCGTACCCAGTCAACGTTAAGTGAACAGCTGCTGGAGCAGTCGTGACAAGAGGGAGCCAAAGGGAGAAGACCCAGCAGTTCACCGATGACACTAGGAACCATGCCAGGGCACCACCTGGGACGGTCCTCCCTTTGCTCTTTCTCCTGTCCCCAGTTACCATGCCCAACAGAGATGAGGGGTAAATGGAGACAGCCCTGCGCAAGGTCAGTTCCTCTGGGAAGAGCCTGAAAACCACGTGGCCTTGGACAAGCCACTTTACCTTCTTCCGCTTCTTCCTCAGGATCCCCCATCTGTACAAGGGGCCTGACCAGAGGACTGCGCAGCTCAGACGTGCAGGGACCTATGGCTCTGACTCAAAGAGCTTCACTCTCCTCTCAAAACACAAGGCTGAAATGCCAGAAACACTCAACTTCTTAGAGTTTCACAGCAAATGATTACAACACAAATCAAAAAGGTTCAACCAGCCAGTACGGGGCGGGCCTCTCTGCCCCCGTCCTGCATATCACCGGCACTTCCTGTCTCCTCCCTGCTGCTGCCCTTGTCCTGTTAACTCCTGTAACTGCTGCACACCTGCTTTGGGGTGGCAGCTCTTGCTACACCTTTCCTGCAGCTCAGAGACCTGTCCACGCCTTCCTGCAGGCCTGGCCAGAGCCCTCCAACCTGCTCAGGGCCTGCACGCACAGCTGCGGGTTCCAAGGAATGCTCCTGACCTCAGCTGTGCCCTCGGGCAACACTGTGAGTGCCAGAGCTAACCACACGCGTGGCGGCCTGCAGGCCTGGCTGCCTTCTGAGAGAGCCCAGGGGAAGCCATCGGGAGGGCTGAACAACAGCCAGAGCATCCTCTGAGCGGGATGTTAGACATTTATAATAAGATCACACTGTCTGTCAGCAGAAGAGGCCATACCGTCTGAAAACACACCCCTTCTTATCCCTTCTCCTTTACAGACACAAAGCCCTGTCAGCTGACACACCTGAAGTGAAATGGAAAACAATTTAAGCACAGCCAGTGAACACATTCAGCAGGGCCAGGTTGGAGTCAGGTTTGCTCCTGTCACCCCGGCTATGATTTTCTGAAGACGGAGGTATATGTGAGATCAGGTTCATGTGCCCTGGCTATGCTTTCTTAACTCTATATCGGCAACCCTGTTCCCCCAACAACTAGGTGAGCGGGGTTAAGATGGTGTCAATGCTGATATTTATTTACACTCTTGCCTCAAACACAGAGCCCTCCATGAACCAGGCAGGAAAAAAAAAAACAAAAAAAAAACAAACAAAAAAAACCCCAACCAAACAAACAAATAAATAAATAAATAAAAATAACAATAAATGGATTTTTACTACCTTTCTTCAATTTTCTCTCTCTTTACCAAGCTAGGCATATTTCTGGTGGTAGTTTTTAAGCTGTGGAAAGACTTTATTATATATTTGATTACAGAATTAGAAAACTTCAAAAATTCTTTTTTGGAACCACAATTTAAAAGAAACATAATAGCCCCATAAAAAAAGCATTGTGTCATTTGTTAGAATTTTTTCTCAAGTTCTGAAACGCAGCTTTCCAATGACTGTTATAACAGCCACAAATTTTCTATAATTGCAGCTGAATACTCTCATAATTTTTCTCCTTAAGACATGATCATGAATCATTTTTTCTTCAATAGCTCAGTCATTTCAGGAACTACCTGTAAATTTAAAAAGAAGTAATTAAGCCACATGAGCCTTTACTGTGACACAGTCACCACTCCTGCCAAGGCCAGAGGAAAAAACATGAATCCCTCCTGAAGGACTCACTCCCCACCCTGTGCCTCCTCTCCCCACCCAGGAACTCCGCCTGTCCCCCCGTTGTGGGGGAGACACACCTCTGCAGGACAGACCACCCAGCCACATGGCTGGCAGGGCCTAGGAGCCTTTCGGACCCAACCGCAAACCCCAGGAAAACTCTGCACAAAGCAGGAGTCCACTGTTCTCGGCGGTGCGAGAGGCCCTCTGAGCTCCCTGGCCATCCTCTTTCCCTCCCGCACTCCTGCTCCTGTCTCGCCTTCAGAGACCACACCAAGTCTTTTGCTCAATCACAACTTCTGTCAGCCTCTGCAACCTTTTCTCCTGGTTCACTCACCCACCATTCATCTCGCAAACGTTCTTGCTTCCGCAGCATATGTTACTACCTTCTGGCACATAAAAATGAGCTGCACGCTGAATGTTCAAGATTGTCACCCCATTAAAATCAAGGCCTTCTGCTGACACAGTGGCTGGCCAGCAGACACAGTGAGGAAGCACCATGAGGGGAAACTGATCGTGTTGGTGCCCATGTTAAAAAGGATAATTTACTAACCCTGAGTCTCAGCAGGTCAGTGGCTGCAGTGGAGCTTTGATTGTGGAGCTGCCTTGTAACAGCCTGGGCAACAGAGGGGAGTTGCGTGTGGGGGCTGGAGGGGGACGTCACACAGCCCACGGGAGCACTAGCTGAGCCACTCATGTCACGTATCAGTTACACAGGCTTCTAAGATGCTGGAGACCATCCTAGTGCACCGAGATCCCAGCTGAACCCCCCTGATGAGGACGGCCTCTCAATTATTTAAGAGAGCTACATTTCCATTAGATGGAAGTGATGTGTTCGTACAAAATTTATTAGGGTGATTGTTGACATGTTGTTTCTCCCTAATGTCACTCTGTCTGCAGCCTACCGAAGGCCCGCACTTACCACGGAGCCAGCAGGCATTAGCTCGGGGCAGCGCCCGGTGCTGGCACCACCTCCCACTCTCCTCGGCGCACAGGCCGTGGGCTCATGCCAATCACACATGATGTGCTCAACAAGGCTAAGGTGGGACCTACATGTTTCATGAAAAACAGATTAGAGCCCAACCTCTTTTAAAGGAAATGCGAATTAGGTTTAGTCCAGTTTTTAAAAACCTTACAGAATGTCCCCCTGCCACAGTCCCCAAAAGGGATGAGGGGTCTTTCTCTCTCTTCATCATCTGTAGCCTTTTTATTAGATCAACCTCAGACTTCCCAGGTACAGCCCGTGATGTCTCAGTTGGGGAAAAGAAAATGCCACCTCGGGTTCATGGGGTGTCAGGTGGCCTGAGCACACACTGCAAGATCTGGATTCTTGTTTTATTCTATTTTAGACACTGCAGAGCAGACCCCCACTCAGCAAGACCAAGTGAGAATGAATTTACATTTAAAATAGGAGAGGTCCAGGACTGATTCCTGCCCATGAGGAGTGACCCCTCACTGGGGAAACAGCCACCCAGTCAGAAACGTGCTCATCCTACACTTTATGTAAGAGGATGAAAAGAAAGACACTAAATACTCCAAATTCAGGAGTTTTGTGGGAAGAGAGATTAGTGTGGACTAGGAAAAATCAGAACATTAACAAGGATCCTGAAGGGGAGAGTGTGTGTGTGTGTGTGTATATATGTATGTATATATAGTATACACACACACACACACACACACATACATACATACAGAGAGAGAGAGAAACACTGCAGGCTCCAGTCACAGTGGGGGGATCTAAGTGACTCAGTAGGAGTCTGTGCTGGGGAGGATGACAGCTGAGGCAGGCGGTACACTACGTCCAATCAGTGGGAACAGAACAGTGTCTTCAACAGAGACGGGGCTGGGATACCCGAGTATCTGTGTGCCAAAGAATAATGCTGGACCCTCACCTCACACCATATACAAAAATTAATTCAAAATGACCTAACTATAAAAGCAAAAACCATCAAAGTCTTAGAAGAAACCATGGGAGTAAATCTTTAGGTCCTTGGAATTTGGCAATGGATTCTTAAATATGACACCAAAAACAAACAAGAGAAAAAACATAAACTGAACTTCATCAAAATTTTAAACTGTTGTGCACCAAAGGACATGATCAAGAAAGTGAGATAACCTACAAAATGGGAGAAAATATTTGAAAATCACATACAGTGGTACCTCAGTACTCATCACTAATTGGTTCTGGAACTTGTGACAAGCACCGAAACCGAGGAGTGCCTGTTTGTGAGCTACCATGAGGCTGACGCGCCGATCTCTGTTTTATTCTGAGACAGTGGCACTGGGTGGTGAGCAAGCACTGAGTGCTAAAACATCTTTTCCTTGTCAAAATGCGATGAGTACAGGGTTTGACAATTTCTGAAACCAAGTACCGAGGTATTACTGTATGTGATAAGGGTTTAATATCCAGAATATATGAACTCCTACAATTTAACAAGACAAACAATTCACCTTAAAAATGGGTAAAAATAAAAATGGGCAAAGAACCAAATAAACATTTCTTCAAAGACTATACACTAATGGCAATAAGCGCATAGCCATGGCCAGTAGCTCATATGGTTAGAGCATCGTCCTAATATGTCAAGGTTGAGGGTTTGAACCCTGGATAAGGCATGTATAAGAATCAACCAATGAATGCATCAATAAGCAGAACAATAAAATTGATGTCTCTCTCTCTCTCTCAAAAAAGGCAACAAGAATAAATACATGAAAAGATGCTCAACACAACTGGCCATCAGGAAAATGCAAATCACAACCACATTGAAATACCACTTCACACCCACGGGGATGGCTATAACAAAAAGAGACGGACAATAACAAGTGTTAGCGAGTATATGGAAAATTAGGGCCCCCATACATTTCTGGTGGGAATGTAAAATAGGGCAGCCACTTTGGAAAACAGTCTAGCAGTTCTTCAAAAGATTAAACAGAGTTATCAAGTAACCCAGCAATTCCACACCTAGATATATACACAAACAAGATGAACACATGTCTTCACAAAACCTTACACACAAATACGCATACTAGCATTATTCATAGCCATTCTGGTTGTATTCCAAGAAGTGGAAACAAGAAGAATGGGTAAACAAAATGTGGCATATCCAGAAACTGGATATTTATTATTCGGTAATCAGAGAGCTGATACCCGCTACAAACACGGAGGAACCTTGAACACACTGTGCTAAGACACTGTGCTAAGAAGCCAGACAAAAAGAAAAACCCATATATCACGAGTCTATTTATGTGAAATGTCCAAGATGGGCAAATCTATAGAGATACAAAGTAGATTAGTTGGTGCCAGGGGCTGGGCAGAGTATGGAATAGGGAGTGACTGGTAAACACAGGGGGTGTCTTCTCTTTGTGGTGAAAATGCACTGGAATTAGGCAGTGGTAATGGTTTCACAACTGCGTGAGTAAAAAAACACTGCATATTTCATAAATGTTTCTGTTCAGAAATCAGATGACAGTCTAATGGGACCTTCCTTGTACATAACTAACTGCTTTTCTCTTGCAGCATTTGAGATTCTCACCTTCTCTTTACAATCTGACATTTGAATTATGATGTGCCTTGGTGTGGGCCTGTTTGGGTCTGTCTTGCTTGGGACTCTGCACTTCCTGGACTTGTGTGTCTTTTTCCTTCATCAGATTTGGCAAGTTTTCAGTCATTATTTCTTCAAATATGTTCTTGATCCCTTGCTCACTTTCTTCTGGCATTCCCACAGTATAGATGTTGTTACACTTCACGTTGTTCCAAAGGTTTCTTAAGCTCCCCTCATGTTTTCTAGGTTCTTTTTTTTTTTCTTTTTGCTGCTCTGCTGGGTGTCTTTTTCCTACCATTTCTTCCACATCACTGATTCGTACCTCTGCTTCATCTTACCTACTATTTATTCCTTCCAGCGTGTTATTTATTTCAGATATTGCATTCTTTATTTCTGACTGATCTTTTTTATAGGTTCTTTTAGAAAATTCTATTTTATTGATTATGCTATTACAGTTGTCCCTTTTTTTCCCTTTTATTCCCCTCCACCCTCCCTGTACCTGCCCCCCACTCCCACCAGTTCATGTCCACGGGTCATACATGTAAGTTCTTTGGCTTCTCCATCTCCTATACTAACTATTCTTAACCTCCCCCTGTCTATTTTCTACCTACCATTTATGTTTCTTATTCCCTGTATCTTTTCCCTCATTCTCCCCACCCACTCACTGATAACCCTCCATGTGATCTCCATTTCTGTGATTGTTCTTGTTCTAGTTGTTTGCTTAGTTTGTTTTTGTTTTCTTTTAGGTTCAGTTGTTGATAGTTGTGAGTTTGTGGTCATTGTACTGTTCATAGTTTCAATCTTCTTTTTCCTAACAAGTCCCTTTAACATTTCATATAATAAGGGCTTGGTAATGATGAACTCCTTTAAACTTGACCTTACCTGGGAAGCACTTTATCTGCCTTTTCATTCTGAATGATAGCTTTGCTGGATAGAGCCGTCTTGGATGTAAGTCCTTGTCTTTCATGACTTAGAATACCTTTTTCCAGCCCCTTCTTGCCTGTAGATTTGAGAAATCAGCTGATAGTCTTATGGGAACTCCTTCGTAGATAACTCTCATTTTCTCTTGATACTTTTAAGATTCTTATCTTTAACCTTGGGTAATGATGTGCCTTGGTGTGTGCTTCATTGGGTTCAACTTCTTTGGTACTCTGAGCTTCCTGGAATTCCTAGAAGTCTATTTCTTTTGCCAGATTGGGGAAGTAAGTTTTCAATTTCTTGCTCTTCCTCTTCTCCTCCCAGCACCTTATGGTTCAGATGTTGGAAGTTGTCCCAGAGGTTCCTAAGCCTCTCATTTTTTTGAATTCTCATTTCTTCATTCTGCTCCAAATCATTGATTTGGGTCCTGGTTTCTTTCACTTCACTGTTGCTTCCCTGTATATTTTTCTTTACTTCACTTTTCCCTGTATTTTGTGATCAGACTCGACCATTTCTGTGAGCATCCCTACCACCAGTGTTTTGAACTCTGCATCTAATAAGCTGGCTATCCTTTATTGCCTAATTCTTTTTCTGGGGTTCTGCCTGTTCTTTCATTTGGGCCATATTTCTTCATCTCCTCATTTGGCAGCCTTCCTGTGCCTGTGTACTAGGCAGAGACTCTTTGATTTCCTATCTCAGCACACCTGTTAAGTTCTATGGGAGGGAGCCTTGGGTATTCACCAAAGTGGGGCAACCTGCTTCGTTGCTTTGTGGCTCCATGTGTGGGGTAGGGGTTGAAGAGGGGTCAGTGCCACTGCTGGCTGACTTCTGGGGGATGGGCTGGCATTCACCCCTTTTCCGGTCACTTCACCCACTTCCTGTATGCGACTGGCACTCCTCCAGTTGCCGCTCTGGTTGTGGTTCCCAGAGTGGGAGGGTTTGCATGCTTTCTGAGCTCTCGTGAGAAACCAGCAGCTCCTTCCATCTCTCCAACCCCCACTGGGTTTACAGCCAGAAGTTATGAGGCTTTATTTTCCTGGCGCTGGAACCCTGGGCTGTGCAGTCTGGCCTGGGGCTGGGATCACTCACTCGCAACGTGTCCCGTTGATTTCAATATACCACACGTGAATGTGGCTGTCCACTCCACCAGCCATGGCTGCCACACTGCATGCATCCTCTCTGCCTGGAATCCCCGTCTCCACCCCTCTTACCTGTGTGGATGAATATAGGTTCTTTCAATCATTGGTTGTCAGATGTCTATACAGTTCTGGGCATTTCTGGTTGCTTTTTGTTTTTAAGTTACTTGTGGTCCTTCTTATGGTTGCACCAAAGTGTGTCTACCTACACCTCCATCTTGTCCAGCATTTTCTATGTCTAAATTCTGTATCTGACAAATTGTTTGCCTCTATTTCATTTAGTTCTTCTCTGAAAGATTCATTTGTTCTTTCATTTGGGGCCCGTTTGTCTTCCATTTTGGCTGCTTCTTTGTGCTTGTTTTTTATACATTAGGTAGACCTGCCAAGCCTCTGATGCAGAGCTAAGTCAGACACTGCCTGTGATGGGCCCTGGGAAACCTGTTTGGAGCTATCAGCAACCTAGAGCTTGTGGCTCTGTCTGCTGGGCCTGGGTACATGCAGAAAGCACCAGGCCGAGCACCAAGGCCAGCTTTTTCCAGGACTGTGTCCTGGGGAAGGTCACCTAAAGTCTAAGAACACACAAACTGTGACCTTTCAATGTGGCCAAATGAGTACTGGGTGCTCATCAATACCAATGAAGTAATTTCTTTTACAGAGCAGGGCAAACAAAGAGAGCAGCAGAGGAGGAAAAACATTACGAAAAGTGGAATATGAGAGTAGTGGGAAGTAAGTGTTCTCCCCTACAGCTGTCACGTCAGGAAGGCTTTAATTCACCAGCATGACCAGCACAGCGTATCTGCTGGGTCAGACAGGCTGGACCTGAGTGCCCATTCCTCCCCTGAAAAGCTAAAGCATCACTGGCAAATCTCCAAGAGAGGGGATTTGATGTAAATTTCTTTACAGTATCTGTCAAATATGATTCTAGGTTAGGGTTAGTTGAATCACTTCACACTGTATACTAACTCAGTACATGATGTGCCAAGAGCTTTATGGATATTTTAAAGATGACACAGACTCCTTAAATGGAAAGTTATAATGCTCTATATAAACATCATGTATTTATTGGGACAATTTCACTTCAAGTAGTTCAAAATTGTGTACATATATGAATTAATACATACATAGACAGACAGACACAGTATCTCCCTGAAACAGCTTCTTCCCTGACCGAGAGGTTCTCAGATGACAAGCTAGATAACAGCTTACCTTGAATAAATCTGCAACTATTCCATAATCTGCCACTTGAAAAATTGGAGCTTCTGGATCTTTGTTAATTGCCACAATTGTCTGTGAAATAAAAACAAAGAGTTTGCCCAGGAAGATATACCACATAAACTGACAGTTCTACTTTAACTGTCCTACTAACAAATGTATAGTCTCCAAAAATGTCTACCAAATTAGATTCACTTGATTCATTTTGTGCTAATACTATAAATTTAGAACTTTCTGTGTTGGAACATAAATTAAATGATCTCCCACTCCCACCATGGGCCCGTCACAGTCATAAAAATGTTTTAAATCATTGCTTTTATAAAGCTGTTTTTGACTGACAAACAAATGTTTAACTTTAAATTACGTAACAACTCAGAAAAGAGGACTGTGGGAGTCATCGGGAACCTGGCTCCTCCTGCACAACAGCGGCCTCGGCACAACCCATCTCAGGTGCCCATCCGGGAACCCTGGAGCCTACTGAAGGCCTGCACCTTGCAGGGGGAGGCCTGCAGCTCGCAGGGCAGCAACCGGTCCTGCTCCCGCTCCCTGGCCTGGCAGCAGACCACTGTGCACACAGTGTGCAGGCACCAAAGCTGGCAAAGACAGGCCTGTCCTCCAGATACAGGGGATCTGTGCTTTGATCACTGACCGCTGCCTCAGATCACAGAAGCACAGAGAGGAGGATGGCCAGTGCTGCCGCCCCTCCCCACTGGTGCAAGGCCCCTCACCCTCTGGCTAAAGTTATCTGCAGACAGTTAAAGGGCTATTGTGCTTTTTCTGGCCCCTTCATTTTCAGTTGTCTCCTTTTCTCCCCACCAAACTCAGAAGTTCAAAAACAAGAGCAGATGTGAGGAAATTACAAAGTAACCACACAGATGTGTTCCTCACAGATGGCTTCTGACATCATCACAATTAAAGTAAAATTAGAGTTTAAATTTTATAGATATAGTAATTCAAATCTTGAGAACCAAAAATAAGTTTCTACCTGCCCATTACTCTGTCTCATGAAAACGGCTAGAACACATTTTAAAAGTATTTTGATACAGCCTGACTTAAAATATAGGTCACGCAACATATGTAATTCCACTACAGGTCCCCCGACAAGCCCCTCACAGTGATGGGCATAATCTTCCAGAACACCCGAGACTAGAGCACAGGCCAGGCCAGGGAAGCCCCCACCAGAGGAAGACGCCGCACACACCGGGAGATGTGCGGTCAGAGACGATAAACAGTGGTTTCCAACTGAGCCTCCAATCCCAAGCCACAAGGACACACATTTTAAGTCACGGGCATTTGCATGGAGGTATTTCTCTTCTGGGCATAATGTAGCTCGTTTCACAGCTACTAGCAGAAATTTCTTTAATTAATGATGGGTAATGATTTTCCTGGAAAATATGACAGTTTGATCACCTGAAAGCTTTTTCATCCTACTGTGTGAAAGTTACTTTTAAAGAAACAGCACATAACTGTGGGCAAGGAACCACTGAAGTATGTAAGAAAAAAAGCTTTGGTTACAGTTTTTCAGATTACTAAAAGAATATTCCCAAATTATCAATTGTAAATAACTACGATAGAATCTTGCTTGCCACCCCTAGAGCTCTCATTTGTCCTCACAAATTCATCCTCTTCCTCCTTACAGAGCTTTTAAAGCTCAGACCGTATCCAACCATGTCAGTGTGCACACAGCTCACGGGTATCACAGAGGCTCATTCGATGATCACATCTTATATCCTTCCAACTGCACTACAGTGCTAATTAAAATGGGAGCCATCAGATTTATGATGCAACTATCTGATTTAAACCAGTCACTCCAAAGCCCTGCACTAGAGTCTCTCCCACTGCAGACGCGACGATGGGCCCGTCTTCTCAAGCATCACAGCGTGTGGCGCAAGCGCGTGCTGACTACACATCTGATGGCTGTGGAGGCAGCTACACTCTTGGCCTAAGGTTATTCTTAGGGATCGTTCCCCAGCACCGTCTCCTTGCCCAGTTCCTCCCTTTTCGCTCTGAGGTGTCCTGTCTATCTAGTCCACCTCTCCCCCCAGTCCAGCGCTGTTGGCATGGAATGAGAATTTTCACCAGGGTCATCTTGGTGGGCAGAATATTTCATTTTTGAGAAGCAGAATTCTGGCTATGTCTCAATTGGCCCAGCTAAAAATATTTTTAAGGTTGCTGGTGTTGGAGGGTTTTTCCCTTAACGCAGCAATAACATTTTCCTCACTGGCACCGCATTTTCAGAACTCGGTGAGGAAACCTGCCACCCAAATGTCAAATCTGACTGATTTTGAGGCAATTCATTTAGAGGTTACCAGGAGGTAGAGCATGCATTTTTTTCAAGGTAGAAATTAAACCTGTTAAAAGTTTTATTACCTTCTATATCCAACTTCCATCTTATCAGATAAATGCAGGAGTGTCAAGACCATCTCTGATTTCATGAAAGACTAAGTTCATAATTCAAACTGTTCATTATTATGCATGAATTAATGTGTCATATCCTGAAATTTATGTTCACAGAGTCATTACATAGGACTTCCAGATACAGTTCAAGTAGCAAGTTAAAGTCAACCTGTTTCCTCTGTGCACTGCATATTTTAAAATTACTGAGGTATTACAACACTCCAACCCAAAATGTGTCAATCATGTTTTAGTAAAACCCAAAAGAGGGGCCTTTGTGACAGAGGAGACTCTTAGGGAACCAGGGTGAAGCAGACACAGAATGAGGGATGAGAACATCACACACTCGTCAGTCAGATGAGTTTTCACCCCACGGTTTTCCAACCACAGATGGTCAGAATGAAGAGAGACCTCGGTACCTGCCCTGGGCAGACCAAGAAGGGCCGTGCAAACAGGCCTCGCCCTGCAGGATCAGCACTGGAGCTGGGAGCCGGGGGCAGGCCTCTCCCACCAGGGCTACGGCTGCAGACCGCGAACCGGACACAAGCTTTCAGTTCCTAGATCTCAGTGAGTGGGTCAACCTCACACACTAGGAAACATGCAGTGAAACCCAAAACTGTACACAAGAGTTTCTCCTCTTAGCATCACTAATGTTGTGTAGTTACCTTGCTGTCTTTCATCCCAGCTAAATGTTGGATGGCTCCAGATATTCCCACAGCAATGTAAAGTTCCTGAAACAAGAGACCATGTCATTAATACGTATTTGTTATATAATACCTTCCCAAGTATTTGCTATTAGCAATTCAAGTCTTCGGCAAAAGACATAAAAATAAAATAGATGCAGTAAGGATTACTTAAATCACGCTCTCTTTCCCTCACCTCCCCAAGCCACAGCCACCTTTTCCCTCTGAATTCCTGCAGCAGTGGTGGAACAGTGCACGTGGACAGTGAGAGTTACTGAGCCTTCAGTATGCGTCAACCACTGTGCTGAGCATTTCGCACCCACTGTTTCACTTAATCTCACAATTTCCTCTGAGGGAGCACTTTTTGTCTGTGCTACTTGTCATTCTCTACCTATTTATTCACAGTATACACACACTGTGGAGTAACATTTAAACACACAGATGCACACACATATTAAAATTATTTTGACTTAGTTGTTTGCCTTCTCATATTTGCACGTACATGTACACAAAGTCCCCTAGGAAAGAACAAACTTCTTGAAGGCACAGGTTCAGCCCCTGCATTTCCAACACCCAATAAAAGGGCTCCCACGCTACAGTTTCTAAGTAAATGCTGATGCACCCCTTTGATTCCCCTGCCCCCAATTATTACAAAAGAAATGAAAACTGAATGCTGTTCTCCGTCTGCTTCTCTAAAAATTTTTAAAGATTTTATTTATTTTCAGAGAGGGTAAAAGGGAGGGAGGAAGAGAGGAAGAGAGACATCAATGTGTGAGAGAAACACTGACTGGCTGCTTCTCACTCACCTCTAAATGAGGACCTGGCCACAACCCAGGCGTGTGCCCTAACGGGGAACTGAACTGGAGACATTTCGGTTCCCAGGCCGGTGCTCGCTCCACTGAGCCACACCCAGCCAGGACATGCTTATCTAAGAATTTTACAGTACCCACATTTGAAAATTAAAATTCACTATCATCACTGGGTACTAGAAATATAAGGGAGAACATTTTGCAAACTATGGAACTGTGTAACCATTATGCTGTACACCTGAAAATAATACAGACTAATACTGAATATAAACTGTAATTGAAAAACAATTTTAAAAAAACTCACTATCATGGAGAACAAATTTAATAAATGCTGATAGTATTATGACTATCTAACCACTACACTGTATGCCTGAAACTAATACAAAATAATACTGAATGTAAACTGTAACTGAAAAATAAAATTTAAGTTAAAAAAGATAGATCAAAAGAATAATTAAAGATCTAATATCAAAAAAATAAGAGCTTAGCTGTTCCATTCTGTCTACCAGACGCATACACTGAACCTACTGCATCCTGGCTTGGGCAGGAGGTGCACCTACCATGTAACCAAACCATCACAACAACAACAAAGTTTCTCTCCAATACGAAGAGCACGGAAGGCGCTGAAGGTGGCTCCGTCACGCTCAGTCTTACCCTGCAGCAGACCCTCAAAGTCAGTGACAGTGCCAGGTGGCCCACCCCATTTTCTGCACTGCTCATAATCTAACCACCGCTCGGTCCAGAATCAAAGAGCATTTCCACTGAGATCAGTCACTGCCACCTAATGCTATGATTTTCATCACACACAAGTGTGTGGGGCTGTATGTGAGTCCTTCCCCTCTCGGTTCCCCCAGCTATAAGCTGGGGCACAGCCCCAGCACCAGAGCTTTGTCCAAAGGCTCCCGGGACACTGTAAAGTGCAGCCAGGGCTGGGAACCACGAGAACAGGCACCCAGAGCCTCAGACCTGTAACTCTATCCTGCACTTGATGGGCTACCCCTGGGCCTTATCTCTAAATGCACAGAGGGCCCAACTGCTTCCAGAGCAGCAGGATACCACTGCGTGCCCTGGAAAAGGAAACAACCTAGTCACCAGTGTGTTTATCATCTAGAAACTAGCTGCGCTTGTTTGCTCTTTCAACTTGCTCCATGGTGACCATAGAAAGCCTGAAGGAAAGCAGGGGCCGTCTGGCCTTAGGGTTGGGAGGTGCCTGCGGTGTGGTGCGGTGAGGAGAGCAGTTCCTGCTCCGAGTACTTCTCAAACTCACGGCCAAGCGATGCAACCAGGAGCTGTCATTACACGGCGATATCAGACGTGCACATTCAAGTGAGTGACAAAGGGGCTTATTTTCTTCGAAAAAGTACCACTATTTTGTACTGAAGATTTGCAGGTAACTTCAACACATCAGTTTAATACCATTTCAGTTTGTTCTGAGTAACATTTCTTTCATAAAAGGACATTCCTTAAACCGTTAATCAAAATATACTTATGAAACCTCATATTCAGGATAACAGGCCAACAAGTTTTTGTGTAGAGATTTTTAACATGAGAAACCGTCTCACTAACCACTCTTTTAAGTGTACTCTCAAAGTCAGCATTGGAAAGATCACCGTTCTGTAACGATTGTGACGATTGTGTCATAGGGACACAATCATCCGCATTAAAATTCAACAAGTCTTAAAAGCCTCTCCATCTGCATCATAAAATGCTAATAAAATTGTTGACTCATTCTGGCAGTAAACATCTACATAAATATAATATAAATGAAATTCACTTTAAGCCCCCTGAGAAGTGAATACTGTTCATTGACTTACAACCATAAATGTCACTGAGGAAAGAACAGATTCTGGGCCCAAACAAGCCAAGGCTGGGGCCAGTCCTGCCTTTCTGCTTTCTGACCACCAGCACAAACAGTGCCGACAGGTGCACGTGACCAACAGGACCTGACTCACGCCTTGCAAACACGCATTTCTGAGTAAACAGAAAAGCATTAAAAAAGTAACCAAGCACGAGTCCTGGGCTGTGGCTGCTTTCTGAGATCTGAGAGCTCTGACAGGAAGGGAGGCTTTCTTCGTTTTTAAAGAACATGTACAGGCAATTAGACTAATATTGAAGGAGGCTTCCTCATGGCTCAGAGAGCACTTTGGTATTTCAATAATAATGAATATGTACAAAACCCACCAGATGCTAATTTATGGAGCACTCTAGACAATGATAAACAATACAATAAGGCAATCCCTGCCCCGAGGTACTTTCCTTCTAACTCAGATAGTGTGTAAGATGATCTAGAAAGAATATGAGTGGCGTGTTGGAGGGGAGAACCAAAATTAGGGTTCAGAAAGTGGTGGGATTAAAGAAGGAACAGGCACAAAGAGGAGGAGGGGCCGTCCTGGTGAGACAGAACCCGGCAGCCTTAGCGAAGTGTGGGCTGGTCATTCTGCAATTCAAGAATGGGGACTGGGGGGAAGAAGCCAAGCCCCGGGGCAGCAAGAGGACACAAGGTTATTCTGAAATAAAAAGAAGAGATAGCACTTCCTTACAAACCAGGACCAGCAGAAAAAGGCACACATCCCTCTTCCTTTGTCAAAACTTGAAAAAGACCGTGGCCAGACTCACTCACAGGTCAAAGTGCAGAGGTATAAATACTAGACAACAGCTGAGACGGAGCTGCCACGTTCAGTGGGGCTTCACAGAGGAACTTGTGACTGTGGTTAAGAACCCAGGCTCTGGAATCTCTCTGCCTCGGTTTAAACCCCAGCCCAGCCACCTTACAGACAAGCAACCGTGGGTCAGTTCTTTAACCTACGGGATTCCACGTGCTCATCTGAAAAACCGGGATTGTAAGAATCCCCACTTCATAGGTTAGAATCTTCCATCCTTAGCTTAGAATCCAGTTTCCCCAGACACCGCTGTGCCACTCAAGTTGAAGTCTGCTCCAATACTGCTCCTCCCAGCCCACTGGGTGGTCTGGAGCTGCCCCGTGGAGCGGAGCAGGGTACACACCGAACAACTCTGGAGGGCAGCCTCATTTATCATCAGTCACTGTAGAGCTGCATTTTTATTACAATAATTTCTCAACAGATGGCAGTAAAGTAACTTGAGAATGGGAAATTTTTTCCTAATTCACACAAAGCTGCACGGACTAGCAGGAGTGCAGGGCAGCCCGAGTCCCCTGAGGTGCGAGTTCTGTGATGGTCTAAGTCTGCTGTAACAGGAAGGAGCTGAGAAGGGGTGTCAACTCCATCACTGTGTCTCACAGGCACTACAAGGGCAACTGCTCATGCTCACCGTCTAACCACACAAGTTAACGTAAGATTATAAAAACCCGTTAAACAATACAGGAAACAACTGAGTGTGACAGAGCGTGGTCTCTTACTCAGCCCCTGCCACTGAGAAGCGCAAGGCCATGACAGGCTGGAACATTTAAGTCTTTCAGTTGCATTTACTCAGTATTCATAACTCCCCCTTGTAGAGTTACCTTTACAAGCTAACTTAATTCCTATCCTAATACCACACAGTCCAAGTGAATAAAGTGATTCATTCATTAATCTCTTACTGTGCCTAATTTTTAAACTTTACCATATGGATGTGCAGGGGAAAAAAAGAGCATTCGGGGTGGGGCAAAAGCAGGTTTACAGTTGTAAGTACACAAAAACAGTTTATTCCTCTATTATTATTTATTATTTTAACATTTTCTATACAAGTGTAAACCTTTTTGCCCCACCCTGTATATAGTTTGGTAATATCCATGGCTTCAGGCACCCACTGGGGATCTTGGAACATGACCGCTGCGGACAGAGGGGGGCTACTGTGTAACCGAAAATGTGGGATGCACCTGAAGTGACCCTTAGAAAATTAATGAGCTAAGATCTCAACTTAAGAAAGCAGAAAATGAGCGAGTATAAGAAGCCACATATTCAATCACTAATATAACTAAATCAGTAAGATCTGAGAGAGATGGCTTCAGACCCTGACTCTTAACACTTAGCATCTGCGTTCTTGGGAGAGTTACTTGACTCTCCCGAGATGGGATGTGAGTCACATGTTAAGTGGAGGCGCACTGTAGCCGCGAACAGGATGCTGTGATTATTAAATACCACCACGCATGTGAAGAGTTCAAAATATGTGCTATTAATGTTATTATCATTAGTTTGTGCTCACTAACTCTTTGAACTAACAGGTACAATAAGACAGCCATCGTGCAAATTCCAGTAGCCTGAAGTGGAACTGGGTAGTCTG